ATGGACCTGATCTGGTGAGATGGTCTGACGCAGAAGAGGAAGCATTCACAGACCTACGGACTGCCCTCTGCAGTAACCCCGTACTGATAGCCCCTGATTTCACCAAGGAGTTTATCCTGCAGACAGATGCATCGGAAGTAGGGTTGGGGGCCGTTCTATCACAGATGGTCGGGGAGGAGGAACACCCAATTCTATACCTCAGTCGGAAACTCCTTTCAAGGGAACAAAAATATGCAGTTGTGGAGAGAGAATGCCTCGCTGTAAAATGGGCCATGGAAACACTGTGCTACTACCTGCTCAGGCGCAGATTTGTTCTCGTGACCAACCATGCCCCTCTTCGATGGATGCAGCGGAACAAGGAGAAGAACACAAGGGTGACCAGATGGTTCTTATCCCTCCAACCTTTCCAGTTCCGTGTGCAACACAGAGCAGGGAGCCGTCATGGCAACACCGATGGCTTGTCACGTGTGCACGGTCTGGCGTCCCAAGCTGCCCAACCCCTTGGTGTTGAGCAGGGGGGAGGGATATGTGACAGACCCAGACCAGTGGGGTACAGGAGTCTGGTAGAGGGCAAATATACTGGTCACTGGATGAGTAGTTTTCTGTTCCCTGAGTGATCAGAGCAGGGGCTGCACTAGAGTAATCAGGAACCTGCTAGAACCAGTTAAGGCACGCAGGCTAATTAGGACACCTGGAGCCAATTAAGAAGAAGCTGCTGGACTCAATTAAGACAGGCTAATCAGGGCACCTGGGTTTTAAAAGGAGCTCACGTTAGTTTGTGGTGCGAGTGTGAGGAGCTGGGAGCAAGAGGCGCAAGGAGCTGAGAGTGAGAGGGTGTGCTGCTGGAGGACTGAGGAGTACAAGCGTTATCAGACACCAGGAGGAAGGTCCTGTGGTGAGAATAAGGAAGGTGTTTGGAGGAGGCCATGGGGAAGTAGCCCAGGGAGTTGTAGCTGTCATGCAGCGGTTACAGGAGGGACTATAGACAGCTGCAGTCCACAGGGCCCTGGGCTGGAACCCGGGGTAGAGGGCAGGCCCGGGTTCCCCCCAAACCTCCCAATTGACCTGGACTGTGGGTTCTTCCAGAGGGGAAGGTCTCTGGGCTGTTCCCCAACCCACATGGTGAATCTCTGAGGCAAGAAAATCCGCCAATAAGCGCAGGACCCACCAAGATAGAGGAGGAACTTTGTCACACTAGGAATGAAGCCCTATGGGTTTAGGAAGCTTCAACTAATCAGAATGCAGCAGCCCAGCTGCTCAGTGACACTCTCAGCAGCACGGAGCACCCCCAACAGCACTTTCCTCTGCTCTGACTCCTCACTGAACAGAGTCCAGTTCCAGGTGTCTACCTTGATATTCAAAGCTGTACACAGGACTGGCCCTTGCTCCCTGAGACACCGCTCTTTTGCCATGACCCCAAATTCACACCATCGCTACCTTTCAACAAGACTATGGAACTGCAGATTATTAGGGGAAGACTCATGACTTTAAGAGACAGAACCATCCCAGGAACCGACCAAAACTATGGAACTCACTGCCATATGAAATAAGAATGGCCGCCAATCCCACCTCTTCATTCATGCTGCTTTCCTGCAATAACACCTTCCTCAAACCAACACGTCTATGTTACCATAGTTCAAAACAAACCCTAAATCCCCTTGTTGCTAGCAAGAAAAGGAGGGAGGGAGACTGAGATCGATCAATGTTGTTATTCTTACTCTCACTCACATACTACGATGATGGGTGCCAATACAAGAACCTGGATAAATTAAGGGCACTGATGGGTTAAGTTTTTTCCTTAACAATGTCTGTTCACTGAACATGCTACTGCTGCTCTCTTAAACAATGCCTCAGAAAGCCAGACAAAAACATTACTTTGCATGCAACCAGCTCCCAAATGTGCAGGCTCATGGGCCTGCATCTCATTTACCCCAAGGCCACTAAACACTGCTCTGGCAATAAAAGGGGTCTTCAAGGGGGCACAAATGTAAATTTACAAGTAAATGTAATTACTCACTTTAAGGTCCCTTTATACTTTAAGAGTGGTGTAAAGAGGCCATAGTGTAAATGAAAATTATGTCCTCAGATCTTTAAAAATATAGAACCACATTAAGAAATTTATCTTTAGCCTTAGATCAAAGTAAGGTAAAATTTTCAAAAGTGACCTAGGTACTTAGGAGGAAGACCCACTGAGTTTCAGTGGGATTCAGCTTCAAGTACTCAAGTCACTTTTAAAAATGGGACTTAAGTGCTATTGGAAATTTTACCCAATAGCTCTGAAAAAGGGTAAGTTCAAAGTGTCTAAACATTTACCATATATATTTGATCATAAGCCAGTTTGTTTATAAGCTGACCCCCCCAAGATGGATAAGTAAAATGGAAAATTTTTATAACCCATTCATAAGCTGTCATAACTATAAAGGGAAGGGTAACAACCCTCCTGTGTACAATATTATAAAATCCCTCCTGGCCAGAGACACCAAAATCCTTTTACCTATAACGGGTTAAGAAGCTCAGGTAACCTGGCTGACACCTGACCCAAAGGATCAATATGGGAACAAGATACTTTCAAATCTTGGGGAGGGGGAAGGCTTTTGTTTGTGCTCTTTGTTTCAAGGGTTGTTCGCTCTTGGGACTAAGAGGGACCGGACATCAATCCATGCTCTCCAAATCTTTCTGAACAAGTCTCTCATATTTCAAACTTGTAAGTAACAGCCAGGCAAGGTGCGTTAGGTTTATCTTTGTTTTCTCAACTTGTAAATGTTCCTTTTGCTAGAGGGTTTACCTCTGTTTGCTGTAACTTTGAACCTAAGGCTAAAGGGGGTTCCTCTGGGCTCTTTGAATCTGATTACCCTGTAAAGTTATTTTCCATCCTGATTTTACAGAGATGATTTTTACCTTTCTTTCTTTAATTAAAAGCCTTCTTTTTAAGAACCTGATTGATTTTCCTTGTTTTAAGATCCAAGGGTTTGGATCGGTGTTCACCAGGAAATTGGTGGAGAAGTCTCTCAAGGCTACCCAGGGAAGGGTTATAGTACTTGGGAGGGAGATATTCTAGGGGGGGGAGGAGGGGGTAGACAGAGTTTCCCAAATGACTCATAAATAATTTGGGTGGTGGCAGCAAAACCAGATCTGAGCTGGTAGTTAAGCTTAGAGGTTCTCTTGCAGGTCCCCACATCTGTACCCTAGAGTTCAGAGTGGGGAAGGAACCTTGACATAAGCCGACTCTATAATTCAGGGATCAGCAAACTTTGGTTCCCGGGCCATCGAACGTCCGCAGGCACGGAGGTAAACCTCAGTAAACAAAGTGTCCCGGCGCGCCAGCTGCTCACCCTGACTGGCCGGGACAGCAACTGGTGGGGAAATTTTTTGGGGGGAGAAGCTGGGAGTCAAGGGAGTAACCCCTGTGACCATCCCCCTCATGACCCCACCCTTAGCCCAGGACCCCCACACTCTCCCCATCTCATCTCTTCCCACCTTATCTGGGGCGGGCCAGGGGAGGATGTCTCTGACCTGGATGGAGCTGCTCCGGCAAGCTGGGCAGCGCGGCCGCAGCCTGCTCCAGCGGGCCAGACCGGGCGGCGTGGCCGCAGCATGTTTCAGTGGGCTGGGCCGGGTGGCACGGCTGCAGTGTGTTCTGGCGGCGTGGCCACAGCCTGCTCTGGGGGGCAGGGCAGAGTGGCACGGCTGCAGCCTGCCAGCCCTGGAGCTGCAGCTGCTTCGGAGGCTGGGGGGAGAGCAGCATGGCCAGAAGCAGAGAGACTCTGGCCTCGCCTCTTCCCTTCTGGCTCTGCTGCCTCTCCTTGCTTCCTCTGTTGGGGGGAGGGGCTGTCCCACCTCTCCCTCTCTATACCCGTTCATAAGCCGACCCCCTTCTCTAGTGTTTCCCTTTTTTACTAAAAAAATTCGGCTTATGAACTAGTATATAAGGTAAGTTTTGGGGTTACAGAAATATTACAATTCTGATTGGGATATAGTGGGACAAAGACAAATGTGCCTTTCATGTTCAAATAATTTTAAATAATAGCTGAAACAATTTTGTTCAGACTTTCAAAAAACAAAAAGTCCTCTTTGGGCTGAGTCACTTCAACTGGAAAAAGAATGATGAGCAACTCAAAATGGAGAGGTAGAAAGGAAGCTAAGAATAAACCTTTAATTACCATGTGCCTATTAAAATATTCATAATTTATTTCTCCCATAACTGAAAGATGAAATGATCCTCCCCCGAGGTTCTTACAAACTAAGTTAGAAAAACAAGGAGGGCGGGGGAATTGGAGTTAACACCCATAAAACAACATTACTCAATGAGGGTGCTGCATGCTGAGCTGGAGAGAAGAGGGGGAGGATTCTTTTTAATGGATGGCTTGGTTGATTAATTTCAGGTGAGTGTCATAGCAGAAATGGGTCTTGAGGAGATAACTGTTCAAGTCATTACATAGAGATCACAAGTGAAATCTTACAAGTTACTGCAAATCTAGAAAAAAAATGCCTTTCAAGAGACATATGGCATGTCCTTCCACTCCTGACAGAGTCTGTGTATAACCAACCTGAAGAAGAGCTGTGTAGATCGAACACTTGTCTCTTTCACCAACAGAAGTTGGACCAATACAAAAATATTACCTCACTCACTTTGTTCCTATAATCAACCATTCAGAATTAGCAGGTTATATTGTAAGACTGGTATAAAATGGTAATTGGGAAAACTTTAATTCATAAGTCAGAGCTGTGCAAAACAATTAATACAGAAAAGCAAGACAAATTCCTTCCAGCACTGCGAAGTAGAAGGAAGAACTACGTGGGTATGTGACTCTGGGGGCAAATAAAGATATGTGAAGAGTGTTTGTCTCATTGGTGGTAATGCCTGCTGACAGCCATGTGGAACTGAAGAAATTCAGAGAATTATAAAAGGAAACTTTTATTCAGTACCTTCTGCCCATTCAAGAAACAGCTAGGTGCTAGTCCCAAGCTCTGAAGAGCTCTTGCTACCAATAGGGAGTTACCTGCTGGAAGTATTTGTCACAGTTGATGTATTCCTTATCATGGGAGTCTTGCAGTTTGTTTGTTTTGATGTACTGCCAGAGGGCCTGGATAATTGCTGATCGGGTCTGTGTGTGTATTCCCAACAAACGGGCCAGTCGTGGGTCCAGTTTAAACTGTGGAGGCTGCAGCAGAGAGAGAGAGAGAGAGAGAAACAGACAGACAGAAAGATGCACAGGGTTGAGGTGAGTTTTGTTTTTAATTTCTGAGTGAATTTGTTCCTTATAAAAGGTGGCAGACTCAAGTAATCAAGGCACCAAAAGTGCAAGCTGCCCAGGAAGTGTGCCTCAACCCTGCCCTGGAAGAACAATATTTAAGGGTGAAAGGAAAATTCAGTTCCCTGTGGAACTCTTGGCCGATGAGTTGAGCCTACCGACAAGGGGACCGATCAGTACCAATTTTGATCATGGCTTTTGTAATGTGGGGACAAGAAATTGGGCTGAGAACTACCAATATTAATTCATATAAGCAGGCCACTATACAGCCATCAGAGGGTAACAACTTTTCATCACTATTGATGCAGCCCAAATTTGAATCAGTGATCTACAATCTAGAAAGTCCCATTAGCAGTCATCTAAGATATCCAGTCTCCTAGCTAAAATGAGTTATAAATAGACCAGGGCAAACAACTGATTTTTTGGTTCAGCTAGCAATAAAAAAAAATAGAATATTTGGCTCATCTTCAAAAAATTTCAGAATTTGTCAGCAAATTGGAAGTGTGTGTCTGTCCATGCCTTATAAATTTTAGTGCAGTGTTGGGGCATTTGCATAGAATCTTGGACTCAGACCCACATTTGAATCCCCACTCTGCAACAGGAACTTAAATTCAACTCTCCCTGCCTTTCAGGTGAGCATCCCGACAATCAGACTAAAGGCTATTCTATTCTCACTCATGCCTGCTGTCACTTGTCCACTTTGTATAAATACTTAAATATTCTTTAGGGCAGAGACTTGAACTCAGCTCTCCTCCCTCCCAGGTGAGTGATCCAGCCACTAGGCTATACTGCTCTCAACTGCTCCAGTTGTTGCTGTTCCACTTTGCATAAATACTTAAATATTCATTGGGTCAAAGAGAGAGAGAGAGAGAAAATATGACCTGGTGATTAATACACTCATCTGAAAGGTAGGAGATGTGGATTCAAATCCCTCCTCTGAATCAGGCAGAGAGAAATCTCAATATGCAAATATGCTTTGAATTGTTCCCTCTCATATCCAGCCCCTGATACAGGCTACTCACAGAATTTCCAGAGCCTCTGCACCCGAAGGTACAGTGTGCCCGTTTGCCAGTTTTACCTTAAATCATAGCTCCTGTAAACCATATAGCACTTGTGAGCACTTATAACAAAAGAAGGTTTATTTAAGAAAGAATAAAGATTTAACTAGAAACAAGAGTGAGTGGTGGAAAAAAATGGTTACTCACCTTCTCGTAACTGTTGTTCTTTGAGATGTGTTGTTCACGTCTGTTCCAATCAGGTGTGTGCGCGCCACAGGCACGCCAGCCAGAAGATTTTTCCTCTAGCGGCAACCGTAGGGTCAGCCTGGGTGCCCCCTGGAGTTGCGCCTTCATGGCATCCAATATAGGGTCCTGCCGACCCTCCACCCCCTCAGCTCCTTCTTTCCGGCTGCTCCGACAGAGGGGTAGGAGGGTGGGTATTGGAATGGACATGAACAACACATCTTGAAGAACAACAGTTATGAGAAGGTGAGTAATCGTTTTTTCCACAACTCACTACTTGTTCATGTCAATTCCAATCAGGTGACTCACAAGCCTAAGTTCAGGAGGCGGGGTTGGAGTCATCCACTGATTGGAGCACTGCTCGTCAGAAGGCCGCATCGTCTCTGGCCTGCTGCGTAATCGCACAGCGCATGGTAAAAGTGTGGATGGGGGACCATGTCGCCACCCTGCAGATTTCCTGAGTGGGAACCTGAGCCAGGAATGCTGTTGATGGTGGAGTGCGCAGTGATTGGGGGTGTGGGAACCCCCGCCAGGTTGTAGCACTCGCGGATTCAGGCTGTAATCCATGACGAAATGCGTTGTGATGACATGGGTAGGCCTTTCCATTCTGTCTGCTACCACCACGAACAGCTGGACCGATTTTCTGCTTCGTTCTCTCAATGTAGAAAGCTAGCGCCCTGCGGACATCTAGTGAGTGGAGTCTCTGCTCCCTGCTGCTAGAATGTGGCTTAGGGTAATGTGAAACTGTGATACCACCTTCGGGAGGAAAGCAAGAGGAGATCTGAGCTGCACCTTATCCTTCTAGAACACAGTATAAGGGGGCTCTGAGGTTAGGGCCTTGAGTTCAGACACCCTCCTGGCCGAGGTTATCGCCACCAGGATCGCCACCTTTTAAGAGAGATAGAGCAGGGAGCACGTCGCCAAGGGCTCAAAGGGTGGTCCTGTGAGTCTAGACAGGACCAGGTTGAGGTCCCAGACCGGGACAGGCTAACAGATGTTAGGTTATAGCCTGAGTCCCCCCAGTACTACCTCCTGTTCAGCCAATCACTCAGAGAAACAAGTTTGTTTACATATGCAGG